GGAACACCAAAAAAAAAAAAAAAAAAAAAAAGAATTAATTTTGCCTGGTTCTATCCCTTGTCCCATTATGTTTTTAATGTTTCATAAAGCCATATTGGAAAGAGAAATATTAGGGAATCTCCACAAAAGTTATGTGAGGCTAAGTATCCCTAAGGGAAGCCTTCCATTTTGGCATATTATTAAGTATTATAGCTTTACAATAAAAATACAAGATGGTGATTCCTTCTAGAATTGTTATAAAATACAATGTCTTATAATGATGAGCAATATAAATGATACCTCCGATATATAACTAGTAAAAGTTTTCATTGCTTCTTTCTTTTTCTGCGTTTTTGAGACCGGGTCTCTCACTATGTAGCCCAGGCTGGCTCGAACTCACAGCAGTTCTCCTGCCTCAGCCTCCTCTGAGTGTTGGGATTACAGGTGTGCACCACCACACCTGGCTACATTTTCTTTTGAAGCCAGCTGTCTGTCATCACTTGCTAACTGAGTCCAAATCAAAACTAATCCTTAAGACTGAAAGAAGCTCCAGCAGAGAAACTTCTCTGAGGCTCTTTGAAGATTAACAGTTTCAAACCCTACTCATGTTTCTGCTGATTTCATGACCCTAGACACTCAGCGCGAGTTTTTGTTGTTTGGTTTGTTTTTTTTGGTACTGGGGATCGAACTCGGTACTTTGCACTTATGCGGCAGGTGGCGGTGCCACCAAGCTAATCCCCCACCCGCCGAGTTTTTGTTTGAAGGAGAAGCTGTGGCCTTGGGTTCACGTGATGTGTGCATGGGGTTCCCTGCCCTTGCTGTCTTCTCTATGGTTCTGGACTCATCCGTGTTCACGGTTCCCGCAGGTCAAAGCACTTTTAATTTAGCTTAATTTAGCGTTAACTGGCCCTGCGGAGGCCGCACCCATGCCCTGCTCCTCAGTTCTACTGCAGCTCAGCTCCCACGTGTGACCACGGCTGGGACGGGCTAGGGGCTCGGGTGGCTGCTGGTTGGGGTCACCCCTGTGGGTCTCGGGGCCCGGTCTGTGGTGGAGCTCAGGGTTTGAAGGGACAGTGGCGTCCAGCCGGGCACCAAGGAGACGCTGTCTCGGCTGAAAGAGCGACACATCCTATCCCAGGTCAGCGCGACCGACACCCAGGGCAGACAAGAGGGGCTGCGTCTGGAGCCCTTCATGGAGTATGAATTCCAGGTCTCCTCTAAGCTGCATCTTTCCAGCGGAGGCTGGAGCAACTGGAGCGAACCTTTGAGGGTGCGCACGCCAGAGGAAGGTACGTGGCTGGGACGGCGGAGGGAGGAACAGGGACGCAGGGACAGGGACAAGGGATGAGGGACTGCGCTGTATCCAAAGTGTGAGTGCGTCCATTTGCAGGTGACTTGTAAGCCAGGAGTACTGGTCTTTCATCTGAACACTTGGGAGGCTGAGGCAGGAGCAGTTCAAGGCCAGCCTGAGCTATACAGCAAGTCCCTGTCTCAGGCCCCCCAAAAATTCATACAAATGATAACTAATTACCTCTCGTTTTCTGATAATTTTTTTTCTTTTTTAGACAGGGTCTCACTCTGTAGTTTTGTGGCTCTGCACTCACTAAGTAGCCCAGGCTGGCCTCGAACTGCAGGCAATCCTCCTGCCTCAGCCTCCCAAGGGCTTGGATGACAGGGGTGTGCCACCATGGCCGGCTGCTAAAATCTTGAAAGTTAATGTTGACCAACTTGCTCTCTGCTTGTTCATTTTGCCATTCAGGGCTTATTCATACTACCCTCCTGTGCACCTGATCAGAATCATGCACATTTAGAATCCATCCGGTTTGCAGAGCTTGGATAAACGCAACTAAATGGGTCGCACTGGCGGAGGGTGATTTCAGTCCGGTCACCTCCAGGCAGGCGGCGGTTCAGTCACCCTCCTCCCCTCTGGGTCAGTGGAGCTGTGACCCGGGTTCCTCCACCCTTCCCTCATAAGTGCTCCTCCAAAGTAGAGTCAAACCCCTCAAAGAGGAGGCGGTCTCCTCCCTGAGCCGCCTCCCCTCTCTGCCCCTTGGCCCAGGTCCCCCCCCAGGGAAGGCCCTGTGGTTTCCACTCCCCCTTCCCCCCTTCCTCTCCTCCCCCATATCTCTCAGAAAGCCTCCCGCTGCAGACCTAGGTGTGAAGTTTTCTGACACATCCTCCTTTTAACCCTCTCCAGGTGTGCACAGTGACACAAATCACCAGTGAGCCTTTCCTGGGAGGCCGGCTTTGCCCCCCTCTCTCAGCTGCAGCTGCCCCACACAGGGAGGGTCCTGCGGCCACCTGTCACCCCAGCAGCAGAGAGAAAGGCTTCCTGTGCATGAACATATCCCAGGGCCCCTGCAAGAGAGATACCAGCCCCTGCTGTGGGGGGCATTGTTTGTCCTCTGCTTGGCTTGTTTGTTTGTTTTTTCATTATGGGTATGAACCCAGGTCCTGTGCATGGAGCAACATCCCCAGTCCTTTTTTAAATTATTAAATTTTGAGGCAAGTTCTCGCTAAGTCACTGTGTTCCCCAGGCTGGGCTCACACTTGAGTTCCTCCTGCCTCAGCCTCCCAGTGTTAGGATCACAGGATGTGCCACCATGCCCAGCAGGAGAACATTCTTTTGGTTTGTTTGTTTGTTTTTGAGAACAGTCATACTGTGTAGCCCAGGCTGGCCTCGAACTCACAGCGATCCTCCTGCTTCAGCCGCCCAAATGCTAGGATGGCAGACACGTTCTCTTAGCTCCCAGGCCTCGCTGTGAGGGTACAAGACGGGGTTTTTAGGAAAGACTTGGGAACCCAGCAGAAGCTGCTTAGAGAAAAGACAGAGGGAGGGGGAAGTGACAGAGTCACACAGGAAGTCAGGCGCCATCAGGTCCCTGGGGATCTGGGGAGTGGCACCCATGCCTGCCTGGCCAGGCAGGGACCTCGGCTTCTCACAAGGTGGGGTCTGGACGACCCCTCGTCTCAAGCAAAGAGGGTGTGGTCAGCCATGTCTGCTGAGCACTTTCTTCCTGCCTGGCCTTCCTTGGGCTCCAGGGAGATGCCGTGACCTTGGTCCAACGTTGCACAGTTTGGCGTTCCCTGGCTGCTCAGGGCTCACAGTTAACCGCTGAGGGAACTGTGCCAGCTGGTGAGGCAGACACACCTGTCATCCCAGTGCTGGGGAGGCTGAGGCAGGAAGATTGCTGTGAGTTCAGGGCCAGCCTTGGTTACACAGGAGACCCTGTCTTAAAACACCAAAATAGGGCCAGGGATTTAGCTCACTGGTGCTGCTGCCTGCCTCACAGGTGCTAGGACCTGAGTTCTATCTCCAGTGCCAAAAAAAAATACTCTCTTTGAGTTGTCTAGAATCAAATACTCATGCACAGATGAAACGTGTATTAGTGTCTTCTAAAGATAGGAAATGAATTTCCTCCTAATACTATTTAAAATGTCTCCTATGGTCACCTTGCCTGTGCCGACTGCTAGGCCGTCCTTCCCAGGCCCAGGTCCGGGTCCCTGGGCAGTGGTGACCTGGGCCTGTCTCTGCCCACAGAGCCCTCGGGGACACTGGACGTGTGGTACTGGAGCCAGCGGGCGGCCGGCGGCCGGCGGGTGTCCCTCTTCTGGAAGGTGAGTGCCCGCCTCCGCCTGCCCTCGGGTCCGCTTGGGGTCGCAGCGGTGACCACGAGATCTGATTTGCTCACACTGCAGGTCCGGGAAATTGGGAATGTAGGGGCCAAGGGGGGGACCCCAGCGGACAGAGCCCCAAGCAGAGGGTGCGTGCCCCGCCTTGTGCAGGGCGTTGACACCCCCAGGGTGACACAGCGATGCCATGCAATAGGACGGGCCCTTGCCTTGCCCTTGCCTGGCCTCCAGTTTTGCTCTACGAAGTATTCTGTTCCAGAAATGTAACAGTTCCTGCTCCTGGGCAGCCCCTGCCCAGTGTAACCGAATGTTTTGTAGCTGTCTGAATTGCGACTCAGGAAAGTTGTCAGCCCCGCCCCTTTCAGGAACACTATAAACCCCGCCCCTCAGCCTCTGTGAGCATGCGCACCCCCTGTGCCCTCAGGAATGTTCTGTAACTCCTCCCCTTGCTTTAGTGAGCATGCTCGCCTGCTCCAAGGCCCGCATGCAAGGAGGCTTCCCTTCCTGCTCCGTCGCTCAGACTCCTGCGTGTGAACTCCTCTGTGCCCAAGGTTTTTCTCCACCTCCCGTCCTGACCTTCAGATTCTGAGGATTCTGGAGTCTTCAAATTGCAGTAGCTGTGGTGCTGAGCTGTAACGCTCAGATGTGCTTCAGAGCTGTTGCACTTGGCTGTGACACTGAGCTCTAACTCTTGGCTCTTGCACCGACGAGTTCTGCTTTGCCACAAGTGCATTGTGTGTGCATGGGTGTGATCACGAGTGTGGAGGTCTGAAGAGTGTGAGGATGTGCGTGTGGGGGCATTGTGTGACGGTGAGTGTGCATGCGTGTTGCCTGTGCACTGTGAGCGTGTGGGTGTGAGTGTGAGCGAGGGTGTGGGCGTGTGAGAACACGAGGGTTCGTGTGAGGTGTGAACTGTGAGCGTGCAGGTGTGAGCAGGGAGCTCCGGCCTGGGCGTGCTCTCCGCATGACCCTGCTCCAGGCTGTGTCCCGCCGGCCGGTGCCTCCTCCTGCCCACTGCCCTCCCGAGTGAAGAAAGCCCCTCTGTGTCCAGGCCCGAAGTGCGGCCTCCACCTGGGCGGCTGAGGCGTCAGAGGGCGGGCGCGGGGACCCACAGCCCACAGCCTCCCCGCCGTGCAGGGCGGCCTCCTTCCCGCTGGAGACACCTCGGGTACAGCGCCCCACGCATTCCTTCGGGGACGCAGCGTGGGTCCTGCCTTTGGTTTTTGTTGTTCTGTTTTAGGGTTTTGGGGGGTTTTTTGGTTTGGTTTGGTTTGGTTTTGTAGCCCGTGCTGGCCTAGAGCTCACAGTAATCCTCCTGTCTCAGCCTACCAAGTGCTAGCCCCCAGCGGAGCTTACAGGAAACAGTTTCTCCTAGATGAGAAACCCCATCCTCAGACTGAAGCGGACTGGACTAGGAGGGGGACGCAGAGGGGGCGGAGCTCCGTTCTCCCTCGCCAGCGCTGCGCAGGGACAGTCATTGCATGGCAGAAGCATGCTGAAAAAGAAGGGGCTTCATCACCTTCCGCAGAAAGAGCAGGAAGAGGCGGAGGGGGCTCGGAGTCCGCTCCTTCTTCAGGCCCTGGGGTCCCCAAGTCCCATTGCCCCGCTCCCACTCGGATGCCTGGCCCCGCACGGCGCTCTTTCCATGGCGCCCACCAGAGGGCGCTCCCGAGCTGCTCCCGTCTGCGCGGAAGGTGACCCGGAAAGGAGCTGCACTTTCCCCAGCAGCTTCCAGGGCGGGAGTGGTGGTGCACGCGGGTGACCCCAGCACTCGGGAGGCAGTCACCAAGCTCAGGGGGAAGCTGGATGAGCGTGCTAATCCACAGAGATCATTCTCTCCCCGAGCACCGCTGTCTCCAAAGCCAAATTATAACCAGGAGACCAATTCATGCACTGAGTGTGAAAATATGAACTTGAAGGTGCGGTGACCCAGCCTTTTCTGGCAGGTAAGCCGAATGCTCAGGCTTGCAGTGAGCAGGAATGGGAGAAAGGTCCCTCCCACCTTCCTCCCAATATAGTAGAAAGGTATCTTTTTATTTACTTGGTTTGGCTTTGGTTTTGTGAGACAGGGCCTCACCATGCAATACAGGCTGCCTTCCAGTTTACAGCAATCCTCCTGCCTCAGCCTCCTGGGTACTGGCATTCTGGGCACGTGCCCTTTGCCAGCAAGGTCACAACAAGATCATTTGTTTTCTACTTACTTCCTGGGATCACTCCCAAATGATCTCCATTGGAAGTTTTGCTGTTCCAAAACTCGTGAGTCACACAGATGGTGAATTTGATTTGCCCCGTGTAGCATCGTGAGTTCTGCTCTAGAGGTCATGAGAGAAGTTCTGAGCGCTCTGTGTGGGCCATGGATTTAGAATCCATGACCTGGTGTGAGGGCTTTGCCCTGGGTCCCTGAGATTTGTGGTGCTGAGTTCAGATTCTACGTTGTGACCGTCGTCAAGTTTCATTTTGGAGTAAGAAAAATCAGTGTATTTGGGAAAATGATCTTTTAAAAACATTAGCTGGTTTATTTCCAAGTGGTGGTTGGGAGGCGCCAGAGTGCCCAGCAGACGCACAGGGACAGAGGGGGCCGGCCCTGCAGCCCGGGGCCAAGCACTGAGCCAACGTGTGCTTCCTTGCAGGAACTGAGTTCAGCAGAGGCGAGAGGGGAAATCCTGTACTACCAGGTGGGCCTGCAGGAGGTGATGGGGCGGACGGCGGTGCTGTGCAACGTCACACGAGGCGCCTCCTGGACAGGGGTTCTCCCTGGCACAGGGCCGTGGACCGTGGCTGTGTCCGCCGCCAACTCCAAAGGAAGCTCCCGGCCGGCTCGCGTGACCATAGGGGACCCGTGCGGCACCGGTGAGCCGCCTGCTCTCGTGTCACTGCGTCTTCTGGCATGAGGGTCGGTGGGCACTGGCCCTTCCGGGCCACTGCGCCACCAACCCCCTCTCTAAACTGGGAATCCTGCCACCTCTCCTCCTCTCATTGTGATGCCTGGTGCCTGCCAGGGAAATGCGAGTCCAGGGCGCACCAGAGCCACTACACAGAACACCGCCATTGTTCAGTTAGACTTTACAAAAGCAAGAGTAATACACGTGGAAAATACACGACATCCCACACATTTTTTAAACCAACATCAAAATAAGACTCTGACTATAGTGAAAATGTGGTTAAATCTGTTCTAGTACAGTTCTTTATTACACAAATTTAAAACTCCTAGCTCAGTGTAAGCCTTACATTTATTGTCACAGAGCCTCTGAGAATTGTTCTAGTTACGCTCTTTGTGTGTGTGTGTGTGGTACCAGGGATTGTCACTGGGACAAAATATCCATCATGGAGACGTAAAAGGAGGAAGTTTATTCTGGCTCATGGTTTTCAGAGGATTCAGCCCACGGTCTGCTGCCCCTAAGGCAGGAAGGGCTGGTGGAAAGGGCTTGCGGAGAAGAGCAGCTCAAGGCATGGCGCACAGGAAGCAGGGAGAGAGGCACAGCCGGGAGGGAGATGAGCCCTTCCAAGCCACGCCCCGGTGACGCCCCTTCCCACCAGGTCCCGCCCCCCGGCAGCACACTGGGCTGCTGAAATCGCAGTGGAATCCACTGGCGGCTGTAGCACCCATGGTTCAGTCCCTTTCCGAAAGCCCCGCCTCTGAGGGCTGAGCATTTAGGAGATATTTCTCTAAACCATAACAAGCCAAGAAAACGGGAATTAATGCTAAAGGGTTCCATGGCAACATGATTGGCCTAACTTCAAAAAGGCCCAAAGAGAATAACACCCTGTACTTAGACCCTTCCTTAAAATTCAATAATAATTTTACACACTTGTGGGTTTAGCTATCCTTCTGAGGATGTTTCTACCCAAACACTTATTTTGTATACACAGTCAGTTCCTGGCTGCAGACCCTTTCAGTCATGAGCTGAGGACATCGTGAGGAAGAGGCTGTGGCGGTGGCAGAGAGCACACGGGCAGATGTCGCCATACACTGGCCGGTGAACTGGGACCTGCTCTAGGTTCGCTGCCCTCCTGCAGGCCTGCGGACTGCAGCGCAGCTCAAGGCTGGGGCACTTGTTTAACATGCGAAGGCCCTGGGTTCCTCCCATGGTACCACACGCATGCATAGGAAGCTTTCTTAAATCAACAGGGCTCTGCGAAAATAAAAAAGCAAATATATAAATACAGTCATACTAGAAAGAAGTGATGGGCTCAGCTTCCTAGGAAATCGGGACAATAAAAATTAAACCACAAATACCATTGTACACATTGGTGAAAAACAGGTAGTTAGAAAATAACAAAAGCCGGGTGTGGTGGCACACGCCTGTAATTGAGGCATTCGGGAGGATCACAGCACGAGTTCCAGGCCAACCTGGGCTACATAGTTCAAAGCCACCCTGAATTACAGAGTGAGACTCTGCCGCAAAAAAAGCAAAAGGAAAAGAGTGTTGGTGGAGGAATGAGGACCCTTGATAGTCTTGTGGAAGTGTCAGCTGGTAGTTCATGTGTATGTTAGGTGTGTAAGTGTGCATGTATTCACGCATGCACGCATGGAGGTGTCTATTTCTGAGGGCTGACGATTGGGCCCGGCGCCAGCACGCTGGGCATGCGCTCTGCGCCTTGGCTTAACTGGCTGCTCGCGATGTCCCGCAGTATCGCGTGAATTCACACGTGACTGTACTCCGAGCATGCGCAGCAGAGACCCCCGTGCAGGTGCCCGGGGAAGGCAGCTCGTGCTGGTCCCAGGAGACCGACGAGGACCAGGCTGATGGAGGCCGCAGTCTGAAGGGGCGGGCCGAGCTGCTTGTGGCAGCGGGATGGAGATGGCCAGAAACATGTTACGTGCAGAGAAGGTTAGAAGCGGCCCTGGGTTCGTCTATCCAGGGGCTTCGTGACACACCCACGCGTGCAAGGCCTCGCTGACCTCAGGACACACGTGTGCGGGAAGCCGACAGGGACGCGGTTCCAGGGCTCTGCACAGCGCTCCGCCGCTGACTGTGCCCTCTGTCCGGGTGCAGGGTCGCTGGCTCCCCGCCAGGTCTCGGCGAGCTCCCGGGGCGGCATCACAGTGACCTGGCGGC